GTGTTCTGAACACTCCTTTCCCAAGAGGCCCCGGCTCTTACTTCATCCACACAGATGATCCTGCTCTGAGGACAGCTCGCTGCCCTTCTCAGCAGCAGTTTCCTTGGATGTCCAGGGTCCTGCCTGACCTCTGGGGAAGGGTGTGCACACATCTGCAGGGTAAACTGGAATATTAGAGATGGGTGCACTGTGGGCTCGTTGCCAGAGCCAGGCCAGAGCCAGGAAACCTGTAAAAGGTTGGCAGTCGGTGGTGAGGTCTCGCGCTACACAGCAGGGCCAGAACCAGCCCCGGCAGAGACGGCCAGGGCTGCGGTGTGAGCTCTGCCCCCCACTGCTCCAGCACCAACAGGTCTCCCTGAGCTCTGGACCTCACTCACAAGGCGCCATGTTGAACTTTCCAGCAAACACACACAGCTGTTTTAAGACTGGGTCATTCAAGCACTTGGGCTGAAGTAATGAGCTGTTTGGGGGAAGAGAAAGTTTTTAACTCACACATTTTAATGTCTCCTAATGTGCCCGCAAGTCAAATGACAGAGTAAAACTTCCAGAAAGTCAATTAAGAAAAGAAAAGCTTCCTAATTAGGGGAGAAACTAGGAAAAGAATCAACTATAAGAAATGTGGTCTGGTTAATTTCCCTGGAGACCTGTGACAGATACGATGCTTCTCTCTCCACCGGGAGTGAGACAGCATTCTCTCAAGAAGATGGGGCCTGAGACCCTTGTGTTGGAAACCACAACAGCCCCCTGAAAAACTCAAGGCAACTGCTGAACAGGGACTCATTGTCCTCAAAGAGGCGACTGTGGCGTTGTGGCTTGCTCTATGGTATGGGGGCCAGTAAGCACAGTGCAGCATGAGGCATGGAGCTCAGAGCCACGGGCAGCAGTAGAAGGTCTGAGTCTACCAGCTGTGTGGCCAGAGGCAAGTTTTCAGCCTCTCTGGGCCTCAGTTTCCTCACCTGTAATAAGGCAGCAGACCTGGGAAAAGGGACTGGCAGTGGGGCACCATCTTGGCTGGAGAGGAGGTGCTTCCTCCAGGGAAGTCTAACCCTGACCGTGCAAAGGGACAGCTTCTGTGGGAACCAGAGTAGAGCTGGGGGGGCCAGAGGTGTAGGACAGAAGATGCAAGAGGCTGTGGTGACCCAGGACAGAGAGACTTTCCAGTTACCTCCCAGTTGTGACTACACCCAAAGTTGAGGACAGTGAGCTCAGCTCAGCACCCCAACTGACAAGCACTCAGCTGGCACACGGAGGACAGAAAGTCAAGGGGTGTCCGGCCCTCCTGAGGCCAAGGGAGAGACCTCAGAGAAGAGCTATGGGAAGGGGATGGCTGAATCTGGGAAGGACACAGGTCAGTGAGCTGCCTGTCTTCCAGCCCCACGTGTGACCAGAGTTATCAGAGAGCAGGGCTCACTCAGGTGTCGGGGCTCCAGCAGCATGAGGCCATGGTGGGTGGCCTGTGATGGCCCATGAGGAGGGGGCGTGAAGGAGACATGCGGGAGGCCCCACAAGTAGCATCTGTTCCTGGGTGTGGTCAGGTGCAGCGCCCAAGAGCAGAGAAGTCAGTGCCCAGAGCAGGTGGTGGTGGTGGTGGGGGCAAGAAGCCCTCAGGTAGAGCAGAGACTCTAAATCCACAATGAACGACAAGTCCACAGAAACGAAAAGGTGGCAGAGGCAATGTGAGTGCCACTCAGTGGTCTGAGAAGACACTGGGTGATAACAGACTGAGCAAAGCGGGGACACTGAGGGACACGCCTGAGGGAAATGCCTAAGATGCGGCACTGAGTCCTAATGAGAGGACTTGATGATAGATATGAAAGTAGCCCCAAAGTGCTCCTGGGAGTAACTGAGCCAGGACTCACAGTGTGGCCTTGGAGATCTCAGGAGTGGCTGAGGTAGGGATGCCCATGGTTAGGAAGGCTGTGGATGTCTGGCCATGTCATCCTTACCTGTATCTCCATAGGGAGACTTCATCTCTGTGTACACTAGGAGCCTCAAGGGAAGAGACTTATGGACTCAGAAGACGGGGCCCCAAACAAAGCAGCCAAGTCCATGTCTAACTGCCCCCTGGAGCTTTATCTCATTGATTTGCTCTGAAGCATGAGGACCAGCTGGGGAGCCTCTCTAATAGGGAAGCCAGAGACCAAACAACCAGGAAACGGAAGAGGCAGACAATCCAGGCAGCAGAAGGAAATACATACGTATAATTGGTACCCACAAGAGACAGAGAAGAGCCTATACTCACGAAGCCAGAACAGAATGTTACATATTTAACTTCAGAGAGAGAAAAAAAGCTCCTGGACATTATATAAAACAAAAGTGACACTTTAATATAGGCCTAGAAGTTGAGGGACGACCAAAAGTAGGTCAGGACCTCCTAAAAGTAGGCCAGGAACCAGAGACACAAGAAAAATAAGAAAAAAGATAGAAAATGCGAAGAAGAGTCTAAGTGGTTCAATACCTGAGTAACACGACTTCAAGAAAGACCGAGAACCTGAAAAGAAATGATTTGAATAATGATGTCTCCTGAAATGGAGGACCCAAGTCTCCACACACATCAAGGTCTACCGGAACCTTGACGTACCCCAGTGTGAGGTGAATGACTGCCTCTCCGTTACAAATTCACCCTTCTTGCCAGCTAGCACAAAGCCCAGCTGTGCTGGATGAGGATGCTGGTAGACTGTATTCTTTTGTAGGAGTTGACTTCCCCTGTGTGTGGTGGCCAACAACTCCTGTCAGAGGTGTCCTCTTGCATTGCCTTAGTGAGAGACCATCCCGTGAATAGCTTTCCCTGGGACCCTATAGTGCCGATTTCCAGCATGATCCAGAAGAAATCCCAGCAAGCCCCATGGTGCAGCACTGGAGTCTTCTCTGCCGTCTTGTGAGGCATGGTGCGTCCTCTCCAACAATCTCCACAGCTCAGCCCTGGGAACAGTGGCTGCTGCTTCTAGCTGCTTCTCCGGCCAGTCTGTGCTTTGAGCGTTCTCTTGACGTCTTCCCAGACAGCCCCTCATGTTAGTCTTCCCTGATCAAATCATGGCACCTTGTCTCTCCTGACTAGGCCCAGACTGACAGAATCTCTGGGACTTCAAAAAACCACGGATAAGAGAATCACAAAGGACAGAAACGGATCACAACACAAAGCCATGGGAATCCTAACGGCCTCCAACTTCTCAATAGCAACACCGATGGAAGCACAATCTTCCGAGTCCCAAGAAATGAACCATTTCCAATAGAAAATTCCATACTGGATGAACTGTCATCTCAGAGGAGAGAATAGAGACATTTTACTTCACACCCTTCCTTTTCCAGAAACTACTGGAGAATATGGAAGCGGAAGACACGTGATTCTGAAAACAAAGGATCCCATCCCAGAGAGCTAAGGAGGAGCTCTCTTCTCTGGAAAAGAACTCCAGAAATGAGAACACCACATGACATTTTAAGTGCAGCCACCACAGAACAGAACAGGAAAGAAGGAAAGCCCCAGGAGGGAGATCGCCAAGAAAAATCTAGACTCGACGACTGCCAGATGTCTGAAGGTACAGAGCTTTGTAACTCCACCGTAAGTAGAGACAGCTACCTAGAAGGGTATGGCGCCCTGACAGCACAGTGGTTAAAGAATTGGGATGCTAAAGAAAAGGTCGGTGATTCAATCCCTGCAGCCAACTCTGTGGGAGAAGGTTGTGGCTGTCTGCGTCTGTAGAGATGACAGCCTTGGAAACCCTAAAACAGGGCAGCGCTCCTCTGTCCTGTGGGCTCACTGTGAGTCAGAATCAATTCCACAGCAGGGGACTTACATAGAAAGGGATGCTGATGAGAAAAAAAAAAATTTACATAACAAATGTTTATTACTGTGTATCACAATGCTCATTTGTGAGTAATAGCTACATTGTTGTTGTTAAAATAATGCCATCGAGTCGGTTCTGACTCACAGCGACCCTATATAGGGTTTCCAAAGAGTGACAGTGTGTCTGAACTGCCCACACTGCAGTTAGCCGTCTAGTCCCTATCCTACAGTCATACTACAGACAGACACCGAGTATGGATTTAACCAAAAGTTATTAATTTACAAATGTGGGGGGTAAGAGAGGGCAGCGAGTTTGAGAGTATGTGTGGGAGACAGTGTGTGTGCTCAAGTTCTGTGAAAGTGTGTAAATATGTGTGAAGAGTTTCATCATCACTTTAACATAAGTTATCTACAATACAAAATATATATGAACATAGCAATATAAGCTGTTGTTTGGAAGTATAAAGGCAAATACTGTAAGAAACAGCTGGAAGAGTTTACAAAGTTACTGCTAGTGCATGAAACGGGCTAGACACTCAGGCTTTCATAATATGAATGATTTAATTATTTAAAATTTCTATTATGAGATTATTTTGATAAAAACTATAGTTAAAAAAAAAACAAAAAAACAAAACCACCACAGGCCTGAGTCTTTCCTCTCAGCATGAGAGGAAGAAAAGGGGCAGGCTTAACCTCCCTGAGGGTCATGGGGCATGACCCCTGCAGCAAGGAGGTGGGTAAAGCCACTGAGACCACCGCCTCAGCTCCCACCTCCCTTTGACACTCCTCAGCCAACTCCACACCATCACTCAACTAGGTGCTGGGTCGTCCACCCCCTTCCTCAACCCAACCCTCTACTTGTGCGGGCTGGGGGCCGAGAGGGGATCAAGGCTGTTGGCTCTGTGGGGTCAAGCATGGGTCAGAGCTAGGAGCGTGGCATTGCCCTGCAGGCCCCTCAGGAGAGGGTATTGGCAGGGGAGAGGCTCAGCCAATGTCAGGTAAGAACGTCAGGAAAGGAAGTCCCGACTGAGGACACCTGAGCAGAGCCACAACACAGCAAAGTGGAATAAAAGCTGGGGTCTGCCAGGCACTGGGCATCCTGCCCTGCAAGGTACCAAGGCCTTGCCACCTGCCTGGTATCGATGAGTCCAAGGCTCAGAAAGGAGCTCTTGATCCACTAAAGGGGGTTTCCATAAAACAGAGAGAAGTCAGTTACCTGTGTACATAATGAAGCTGATGAATGGAATCAATGGCCAACACCATCTCACCAATGTAGAACCTCGCCATGTCTTCTGGAAGCTTGTCTTCAAATTTACTGAGCAGGGTCAGTAAATCACCACCCACGTAGTAATCCATGACCAAGTACTACAAATTGGGACAAGAAAAGAAGACACAACACTTTGTCATCACTGAGGCTGACAAGTAAAGGCCAAACATTACTGCGGAGTAGGAGATGGCAACTAGAGTCAACGTAAGCCTTCCAAGGTTTCCCCTCTGACAGAAAACTATACTTTTAGCATTTGCTTTAGGAATTTATTAAATAACATGAAAGTGAGAACCCTGTAGGCAAGTAATGCAGTGACATGAAAGGAGCAATGCAGTGACATGGAAGGAGCAATGCAGTGACACGGAAGGAGCAATGCAGTAACATGGAAGAAGTCATGCAGTGACATGGAAGGAGAAATGCAGTGACATGGAAGAAGTCATGCAGTGACATGGAAGGAGAAATGCAGTAACATGGAAGAAGTCATGCAGTGACATGGAAGGAGAAATGCAGTGACATGGAAGAAGTCATGCAGTGACATGGAAGGAGTAACACAGTGACATGGAAGGAATAATGCAGGGACACGGAAGGTCGTAGCATCTGCCAGTGCCATCAGTGGTACTGTGATCCCATTTTAGAGAGAGGAGAGCCTAGAAGCACTCAGTGCGGGATTTGTCTTTATGACAACAGGGAGTGAAGCCATGCAGATCAGAGGCTGCCTAGGTCCTCTCCTGATTACAGACCCCCACACAGAGCCTGCTGCTCAGCTCTCTGGGGTGTCTCAGCAGCTCCTGGGTCTCTGTCCTCAGCCTCTCACCAGGCTACATGGCACTATCGCCCAGCTAGTCCCACCAACAGTGTGCTGCAAGGTTGAACTGCTCTTCTGGCCCTTCACTGACAGCACGATTCCTGTCCATGTGCTCGCTACCCAACCCTCTCAGTGATGGACGTGGCATCCCTCAGGTACCAGGGACACTGACGTGTGTGGATCACCAGCAGCTCTGATCTAAGGAGGGCCACGGGCCACCAGCGAGCACAATGACAAAGATGGCTGGTTCACAATCAGGGTGTCAGAGCATGCTGGGAGGTTACCTGACATAGGTGAGCTAGGAGGAGCTGGCAGCTACGCTGAGGCCTGAGAGCTGGCTGAGAGCAGGACAATGTGTGCGGGGAAACGAAGAGGAGAATGGATGAGGAGCGGCCGAAGCCAGCGGTGGGAATGATGCAGACCGAGTCCTCCTGCTCCGGGAGAACGGGCTGGAGGGTGCAGGGCAGGAGGGGCAGTCTGGGCAGGAGGGTGGGCAAGGTGGCAGGACAGCAGTGGTCACTGAAGGGAGGGGGCAGGGAGCCCAGCCCCTGTCTAGCTGACCTCAATGGCTCCCAGGTCTACCTCACAATCCAGCAGCTCAGCAGAGCTCAGCCTGACAGATGGCCTCCTAGGAACAGGTTCCCCAGAGAAGGGAGCTGCAGGGGCTCATCAGGCAGACAAGTTGAAACCTATTTGCGGAGCTGAACTAGATGGGCCGTTTCGTGTCAGGAAACATGAGACTTAGTGTAAAGTCAATAGGACAACGCCCTGGCAATTAACTGGTGAAACAGGTTTGATTTTATGAAACCCTCAACTGAGATACCTACATGGGGGCTTCAGAAAGTATGGAAAAATGGAATTAAAATATTGAGGGAACAAGATGGTAGATCAGGTAGAAGTGCAGTGAGGAACTCCATCAGCAACAACCCAGAATATCAGACCAAGTAGGCTCAGGGGATGGTCCCAGAACTCTGAACCACATATCAAGGAATATTTAGAAGGCTGGAAAGCTTACAGCTAGGGAAATTTGTACCAGAAGCAAAAAATCCATTTCTTTCTATTTCAAGACGCTCAGCTGTTCCTGGAGCCACCATCTTGGGCAAGACAGAGTGGGAGAAGGATCAGGACAGCAACAGACACCTAACAGAACTGCGGAGATAAAGGAAGAAGAGTGAAAAGGGAAGACCATCTCCTGATCACATCTACTTGGAGGCAATCAGAAAGCATAAAAAATACCAAAATACACACCCATCTAAGTATTAAGGCCACAGATAACTCCTGAAGATGCCCAAAAAACACAAAGAGATGACCATATCTGCACATGTTCAGAAACGAGATAAAGTGACTGATGCAAATGAGCTGGAAGTAGACCTATGTTCCATACTGGAAAAGGGCAGGCTTTGGAAATGCCAGAGAAGGAATTCAGAAAAATGATTATAAAATATATCAAAACACTATACACTAGAGTTGAGAAAAATAAGGAAGAAGTCAGGAAAGCACTATGTTGCTGTTGTTAAGTGCCGTGGAGTCGGTTCCGACCCATAGCGACCCTGTACAGGGTTTCCGAGGGTGTAAATCTTTACGGGAGTAGAAAGTCTCATCTTTCTCCCGCGGAGCGGCTGGTAGTCTCGAACCGCTGACCTTAAGGTTCGCAGCCCAATTCGTAACCACTACGCTACCAGAGCTCCTTCAGGAAAGCACTATAGAGACAATCAAATAAGATAGACACAGCATTGGAAACAATTAAAAACCTACCAAAGAGGTCCTAACAATTAATAACAGAATATCAGAAATCAACAATATACTGAAAGGGCAAAGGAACAAAACTGAAAAGATAGAAGCCAGAACTAGTGAGCTAGAAAATAAATCTCTCAACACTACTAAGATAGAAGAGCAAGCAGAAGAAATAAAAAAATCTGAAGAAGTCCTAAGATTCATGTTGGACAACATGAAGGGGAATAACTAAAGAATTATTGGCATTCTGTAACAAGTCCACAGAGGAGAGAGTTGAAGAGCTCACCGAACCCCAGAAAGTATAGACCTTAAAAGAAAATCACCAAGACATATAATAATCAAGCTCTCCAAAATCAAAGATAAGGACAGAATCCTGAAAGCAGCTAAGGAAAAGAGAAGTATAACATACAAAGGCAAGCAAATTAGATTAAGCTTAGATCTCTCAACAGAAACCACGAAGGCAAGAAGGCAACGGGGAAACATATATAAAACCCTGAAAGAGGAAAAACTGCAAACCAAGAATCCTCTACCCAGAAAAGCTGTCAATCAAATACGATGGTATAATCAAAACATTCCAGGATAAACAGAAGCTAAGGGATTTTGCCAAAGCCAACCCAGCACTGCAAAACATCCTAAAGTAAGTTCTGTGGACTAAGAACCAACAAGAACAGACAACAACCAGAGAATGACATACGTGGCAGTATCACCCTGAATTCAATCAACAATCGACAAATCAAAGAGTCAAGAACAGAATAAAATTATAAGAACAGAGGATCTGGGAGGTCAGTCTATGATCAAAGCAATTAGTGTGAACAAAGGTAAACACATGGGAACAGAGATCCACGTGGTGAGAAGATCAGGTAGATTACAGGATAAAACAGACTGTCTTAAATGGAGGGAAGAGTAATTGGAATATAAGGTAACCACAACAGTGGGGTTGGGGTAGGGGGTTTCAGTTTGGGTGTTGGGGAGGGCAATACAAGAAGGGGGAGGAGGTGGAAGAATAAGATAGATAGGGCAACACTGAGACAGGTTTGCACGGCCTAAGTGAGACAGAGGTAAACAGTGATGCATGCTCAACCTTGGAACAATAGAGCTCTGGGACACAGGGATCTAGGTATAGCTTGAAAAGGGAAAATGATACTAAAATGCTTGACTGTCTTATGAATATTGGTTTCCCTTGCCTACTATTGTAAAATAGAAACTTGAGTGGGATAGAAAAGAATGCTGGGAAACATGATTACGGAAAACTCGTAAGCTCGTCTTCAGCCTATAACTAACTGGAATACCTAAAAGGGGTTCTAGAACTTGCCCAGTGAAATAGACCTCTTGCAAAGCCTTTGTAGAGTATAGGATCTTAAGTGGAGTCCTGAGTCCGATCCAGAACCTAATGAGGTGGGCATTCCCACCAGCAAGCACAAGCAGACCAGCCTGGAAGAGCTAGAGTGACAGAAGACACATCTTCAAAGAAATATCATCAGGAAATACCCAAAACAAAAATGTCAGCATGACTGGCTACTACAAGAATAAGCAAGTTGTTCGCCAGGAAGCCATCAAGACAAGCAATCAAGTTCCTTCAGGACAAACTCCCCTCTAAGACTGAAACTCAAAGGGAACACATGAACAGGTATGTAAGCTTGCTGACGACCACAATGGTCTACTGGTGAGTGGAAGAGAGGGAAAGGCACCAATGAAGAAATGGGCTGAGTTCAACCACAGTCCACTGACTCCGGCTGACCTGGAGATGAGAGAGAGAAGAGGAAGGACTGGTTGGTCCAAAGTGTGGTGAGACCTGAGGACACTTGAGCCCATGGACAAGGACATAGCCACAGAGGGCTAGAGCTGACAGTGAAGCATCCAGCTGATATGAAGTGAGGGGAGATGCACAAGAACACCCAAACTTTCAGACAGTACCCATTTGACCTAGCCTCGATGGCTTGATAATCAGAAATTGACTAGAGAAGACTACAAAACAAAAAATAAAAAATTTTTTCTTTTTATAAAGGAAACAAGGGTAAATTGCTACAATTTGATGAACCTGACCTATACTCATGGAGGCAGTAACTCTAAAAACCAACAGAGAGGGAAGAAGTCTTCACATGAAGTATCAATACTATCCCCTCTGTACACAGGGTAGATAGGGATGGGCAACTTAGACAATGGCTACCTAAAATGAGGGGGCGATAAAGGCACGAAGTGTCTGGCTTACAAGGTTTCAAGAGAGAGTTTAGTTTAAGAGTGTGTGTGGGGTGGAGGTGGGAGGGTGGGTAGAAAAAGTCCCCACTAAATAAGTTTTCATCTTGTCTAGTCGGGTCTGGTGAAAAGAGATGGGGATAAGCTTTGTATGATTCAATAGTGAATAATTGTTATCATGACTAATTTAGACCGTCACAATTGTAAAGGTAGAAGTTTTGTAACAAAACGGGAGTGGTTAATCTTACAGTCCAGAAACAGAGCACAAGCAGAATGTAGGACCTTATCCAGAGATGGAAGCAGAGATGGGGACATGGAGAAGAGGGAGCAGCTGAGGACTCTAGATTCATGGGAAGAGAGGGACTAAGAGCTGGTGGGCAGGAGGCAGATTTGCAGAATGAGACCTTTAGAAGTGTAAATTATTATATATGCCTGAGTGTTTTTTTGTGTTTTTTTTAAAAAAAAGCTAAAGTGAATAGAGAGAAATACTGCTAACTGATGGTATATGGAGGTGATTATAATCACTGTAATGAAACAAGGTGTATGATTTCTTGAATGTAAAACTGATGATCTGCCCTGTAAACTTTCACTCAATCCACAGTAAAAACCTTAAAAAAAAAAGATACCACTGAAACCCCCATGCCAAAGAACATGGATGAGATCTGTAGGGTGCTCAGCATGAAACTGAGGACTCGGAGAGAAAACCTGGGACCTGGAGCTCAAGCTTCCACACCAGGAGAGATGACAACAAGGGCGCTCACTTCATATCCTGAGCAGGGCTCTGTAGGCCAGCCTCCACCTACCCTGACTGCTCCCTGGGCTCTTTCTGCCCTTGCAGACCTGCACCCACCCTCACCTCAGCCCTAAGAAGTGTGGCATGCACAGAAGCATACCTGCATCTGGGCGTCAAACAGCCAAGCCCTGGACTGCAATGCTAACAACTGGATCCACGTCCACAAACCAGAAGCTTCACAACCCCGGCCTTCTCTCTTCCCTTTCGTCTTCACTGAACATCTAAATGGGCAGCTCCCCAAACCCCTAGTTCTCTAGACAAGACAGCTTCTTCGCTGGGGTCCTAACTGATGTGTCTCAACTGAGAGGAAACCAGGTGACAGCCAGCACTTTATACAGCAGTCCTGTAGCTCTCAGGCAAATATGAGAAACAAAACCCAGAGTATCTGCCTTTGCCCAGTACTCAGGGCAACCTGTTCCACTCTTAATAAAACACGACATGAACTGGAGAGCTACTCCTGTCCTCTGAGCAAGTCCAGGAGGCAAAGGGGCCTCTGGGGCTCATGTGGAGACACCCTGAACACTCTCAGACCCTGCAGTCGGCAGGATGAGGGGTGCTGGGCAACCAGAACCACCGCACAGACCAGTCCGGCCTGCTCCAGTTCTGATCAGTAGTGCAACACCCTCCAGCAAGTGGTTGAGCTTGTGTCGGCCCAGATTCCCTGTACACAAAGTGGAAAACTCAGAAGACTGCCTAGCTCACAGGGCCACCGGGAAGACAAGAGAGGCCCCATAAACAGTGTACTTTTACAGGCCAAAAAGACCATAACAAACTGATCTAGCTAATTCTAGACCCTCAAATCTAAGGGTGCCCATGACACTTGAAGGGAGTATTTCACGATGAGTAAGAGGAACCCCCAGTCCTGGAGAAGGACATCTTGCTTAGTACAGTGGGGGGAAGCAGACAGGAGGTCGACCTTCAGTGAGATTGGACTCAAACACAATGACAATTGTGAGGATGACACAGGACCAGGCAGTGTTTTGTTCTGCTGTAACGTGGGGTTGCTAGGAGTTGGAACTGACTCGACAGCACCTAACAACGTTTCAGTCTGTCGCAACAGATGGGGCCTTAGGGTGAGCGTCCAAGCTACTTGCTATGGAAAAGGAAAGTGGCTGTGGTGACGGCTGGCAGGTAGCCTCCCAGCCCCCACTGCTGAGGGGCATGTTGTCTGTGGAGGCCCCACTAACCAACACTCAACAGTGACGTTTCCTGACTTCCTGAACATAGCGGTTTTGTGAACACTCGTGCCTTACACCACAGGTTTGACAGGCCTTCAGTTTCTAAGAAGAGTTGTCTTGGCCTATGGTTGATTTAAACCACACTGTTTATGTTTCGTAAACACCAAAACCTACACACGTGGCAACCACAAGGACTCACAGATGTGCCAAGTTAACGTGGAAACGGTCACCCACACACTGTGTCAGGTCTCTGAGAAGCCAGCTCCTCACTGAGGCAGGACACACACCGGCTCAAAGTGCCTCACACAGCTGCCAACCATACGCAGGTGGGCACATGCTCACCAAGGGCGATGCTCCCACTCCCCTTTCACCCTCCATCCCTGTTCCTATTCTTAGTCCCTATCATCATCGTTCAGTGAGCAAAACACGCAGGTTACCTAGTGAATACAGAAAAACAGTGATCCCACACGTGACTTTCTTCCCCGCTCTACCTGGTGATTCGCCTTGGTTTTACACAGTGGCACACATGTCTCAGTGACAGAACAAAGCAGACAGAGAGCCTGGGCCCTGGGGGCAGCGGCGGCGTTGGCGCATGCCCAGACCTACCAGGTAGTTCTCGTCCTGGAAGGCGTAGTGCAGGGTCGTGATCCACTGGCAGTCGCCATTCACCAGCACATCACGCTCCTCCCGGAAGCACGCGGTCTGTGGAGACAGTAGGGGAGAGTTAGTTCGTGTCCAGTCGGATGGCAGGCTGTAAAGCGGACCGTTTGGGCCCTGTGGCTGCAGCGCTAGGGACTGCCCACACTGATGTCCTCCTCCATGGCCTGGTTCTCGTGCTTGGATAGCCTGACGGGGTGGGGCTGCTCCTCCCTAGCATCACCCACCCTCTCTTCTATGCCAGATCCATGCCGCATGGTGGTGCCCCGGCACCCACCCAGCTGTCTCAACTCCACTGCCGTCCCACAAAACTAGGGTGCTGAGCCTTCAAACCCTAAAAGTCAATCCCACAAAATGCTTACATAGACCTAGGAAGTATCTCTAACTGTGAGGGTGGGGCAGGACCCGGCAGTGTTTTGTTCTTTTCCGAATAGGGTCGTAGTAAGCTGGAACTGACTTGATGGTACCGAACCACAATGGTAAATCCCGTAACATTCAATTTTGCAACAACAGATAATGAACAACAACAAAAAATCTGTAAATGGTTACATAGGTAGATACGTACACATGCTTGTTTGTGCCATACGTATAGTCACATGTTTAGTACAATAAGGTACCTAAGGGGCACAGTTTAAGATACTTCCTAGATCTATCCAAACATAGTTCCATGGGACAATGAGGTCAACCGGCAAAACTCAGTGGATGAAGATAATGTTCTACATCCTAATCTGGTGAAGTGGTGTCTGAGGTATTTGATGTGATCTCTTCCTGTCTGGAGCAAAGGGTGAAGAAAACCAAAGACTCAAGAAGAAACCAGCCACGAAAGTAACAACCCACAAGAACCACACAGTCTCATCTAGCCTGAGACCTAAAGAACTAGGCAGTGCCTGGCTGCCAAGCCCAGCTGTTCTGATTAGGGGCACAACAGATAGGGTCCCAGACAGAATGGGAGAAAATTGTAGAATAAACCTCAAGATTTATAAATACTTACTAGACTGATACGAGAGTGTAGAACCTCCCCCCCACCCCACAACTACTAATCTTTACACTGGCCTAAAAATAAACAACAACACTTGTGAGGAATGTGTTCCTCCAAACAGTAAACAAAGCAGGGACACTGGAGGGATGGAGACGGACCAGCAGCGTGGAACTAGTGAGAATGCTGACATACTGCAGGGACTGGAATCACCATCACAAACAGTGTGTATCAACTATTGAAGGAGAACCTCATTTGTTTTGTAAACTTTCACTTAAATCACACACACACACAATATGCTGTTTCTAAGTGCATATTTAGAGTTTACGGTTCCCGAAGAGCGGCTGGTAAATTTCAAACAGGCCAACCTTGTGGTCCCAACTGATCTTTCCTCACAATTGTCGTTACGCATGAGAGCCCATTGCTATGCCAATTCATGTCTCTGAGAGGGGTCCTCCACTTAACGAAGCCTGATGTCCTTTCTCCAACAACTGGTACCTCTTGACAGTATGTCTAAAACATGAAATGAAGTCTCACCATCCTGACTGCTGGGGAGCATTCTGGCAGTACTTCTTTCAAAACAGATTCATAGATTCTTCTGGAAGTCCATGGTATTTTCAATATTCTTCTCCAACACCATAACCCAAATGCACCAGTTCTTCTTGGCTCTTCCTTTTTTATTGAGCAACTTTCACATGCATATGAGGCTACTGAAAAGAAAAGACCTGAGTGCAGCTTAGTCCTCAAACTGACATCATCTTTGTTCTTCAACACTTGAAAGAGGTCTTGAGCAGCAGATATGCCTAATGCAATACATCGCTGGATTTCCTGGCTGCCGCTTGCATGAATGTTGACTGTAGATTCAAGCAAAATGAAGTCTTTGACAACTTCCATCTTTTCTCCATTTATCATGATTTATTGTTCCAGTTGTGAGGATTTGTGTTTTCTTTACATTGAGGTACAATCCATACTGAAGGCTGTAGTCTTTGATCTTCATCAGTACTTATTTTAAGTCCTCTTTGCTTTCAGCAAGCAAGGTTGTATCATCTGCATATCACAGGTTGTTAATGAGTCTTCCTCAAATTACAATGCTACATTCTTCTTCATATAATCCAGCTTCTCTGATTATTTGCTCAGTGTACAGACTGAGTAAGTATGGTGAAAGAACACAACCCTTTCCTAATTTCAAACCATTCAGTCTCCCTTTGTTCTGCCTGAATGACTGAATCTTAGTCTATATACAAGTTCCTCATGAGCACAATTAAGTATTCTGGAATATCCATTCTTCTCAAGGTTATCAATACTTGTCATGATCCATAGAGTCAAAAGCTTTTGCATAGTCAATAAAGCACAAATAAACATCTTTCTGGTATTCTCTGTTTTCAGCAATGATCATCCAATGTCAAGCAATCATACCCCTAGTTTCATGTCTTCTTCTGAATCTGGTTTGAATTTCTAGCAGTTTCTGTTGATGTACTGTTGCAACCATTTTTAAATTATCTTCAGAAAATCTTACTTGCATGTCATTCTAATGATATTGCTTCATGCTTTCCACATTTCACTGGGTCAATTCTCTATTGGCCAAGTAGCGGTCTTTCAAATTTCTTGGCATAGATGAGTGAGCACCTCTAGTGCTGCATCAGTTTGTTGAAAGATTCCAATTTGTAGTCATCAATTCCTGGAGCCTTTGTTTTTCGCCAAGGCCTTCAGTGCACCGTGGACTTCTTCCTTGGGTACCATTGGTTCTTGATCATATAGAACTGCTTGAAATGACAGAACATCTACCATTTCTTTTTGTATATCCTTCCATCTTTTTTTTGATGTTTTCTGTATCCACTCAATATTTTGCCCATAGAATTCCTTCAATACTACAAGCTGAGATTTGAATTTTTTCTTGGCAGTTCTTTCAGCTTGAGAAATGCTGAGCATGTTCTTCCCTTTTGGTTTTCTAATTCCAGGTCTTTGCATGTTTTATTATAATACTTGACTTTGCCTTCTCAAGCTGCCCTTTAAATTTTTCTGTTCAGCTCTTTGACATGCATATGAGGATATTGAAAATTTCTTCCATTTGCTTTAGCTTCTCTACACTCCAGAGCAAGTTTGAGAGTCTCTTCTGATATCCATTTCAGTCTTTTCTTTCTTTCCTGTCTTTTTAACTACCTTTGGCTTTCTTCCTGTATGATGTTCTTGTTGTCATTCCACAACTCTTCTGGTGTTTGACCATTCGTGTCTAATGAATCAAATCTGTTCTTGACATGGTCTTTAAATTGAGGTGAGATGTGTTCAAGGTCATATTTTGGCTCTGTGGACTTGTTTTTCATTTTTTTCAGCTTTAGCCTGAACTTGCATATGAGCAGTTGATAGTCTGTTCCACAGTCTGCACTTGGCCTTACTTTGATTGATGATATAGAGCTTTTCTACCATCTCTTCACCCAGATGTAGTCAATTTAATTCCTGGAATTGTGAATGAACGTGTTGCTATGAATTCTGTCCTCAAACATCTGAGACCTCCATGGGCGCTCACGTAACAGCATCTATTCTTCCCCACATAAGAAGCACTTCACGATTTTCCTGGGTTCACTGTAGTCCAGGGCTGCTCAGGGTGGGAAGTGGGGAGGCAGCCAAAAGCCTGAGAGGAGGCAGACAGACAGCAGAGAGAAGAGGCCAGTGGAGTGAGGCGGGGGCTGTGATAGGCAAGGCAGGCCAGATCTAGGCAGCAGCATTCTCTGCCTGAGGCCTGCAGACCTGGGGGTGACCCGTCAGCACATTCGGAGCAGAACTGGGTTGACCAGTGTTGGGTGCCTTGGTGGGAAAAGAGGCTGACGTGTGGCTGGGGAAGTGGTAAGGTGCAGGGGGGCATCGCAGAGAATGTCCACCCAGAACCTAAAAACTGAACTCACTGGTGTCTAGTCAATTCTGATTCACAGCGGCCCTCTAGGAGAGAGTAGACGCCCACCCAAGGAGTGAGAAACGGAGGCTGGGAGAGAGCTGGCCTAAGGAAATGGTGTGCAGAGCCATCGGGCCACCGGTGGAACACGTAAGATTCCAGGAAAAAGGGGCACTGGCCACAGAAGGGCGCAAAGAGAACGAGGGCCCTGGAGTGGAAGGAGAAAGGTGAGAAACAGGCACTTCCCACAGACAAGTGGCTATGGACCCCAAGATGGAGTAGGAATGACCAGGTCCCTCCCCAGGAAGGGCAGAGGAGCCAGCAGCTGAAGCACACTGTTCAGGGTCTGTCGGGGGCTGCAGGGCTACACACGCTGAGGCCAGGAGTCCCCACAGAGGGACAGAGGGTGGTGGATGGTGACAGAGCCTGGGGTGGGAGCAGGGCTCTGGAAATGACCAGAGAGGAAGCCTGGGCTCCTGGGCATTCAGAGGCAGGACCCAGTACTGAGGGGCCCTAAAGAGAATGGGGCTGGGCATGGACTGCAAGCCACAAGGTCGGCAGCTCAGACCCACCCTATACGGGGTCAGCATGAGTCGGAACCAACTCCACGGCACTAACAATTCTCCTCTAAGGACCCGATCCAAACCAAACCCACGGCCGAGGAGTCAATTCTGACTGCTTCTGACCCTGTAGGATAGAGTAGAGCTGCCCTATAGGGTGTCTAAGGCTGCAAATCTTTATGAGAGGAGGCTGCTTCATCTTTCTCCCACAGACTATCTGGTGGGTTCAAATTACCAACGTTTCCATTAGCTGCCCAGTGTTTTAACGTCCTGCATCACCAGGGATTAACAAACCATTTCCGATGTCAAACCAGGCTCCAAAACTCAATAATCCCTTTTGCATATGGAGCAGAACTGCTAAAAATACCGAGCGCTCCCATGAAGATCTTCATTGGCCTTTTCAGTAAACAGAACTCTAGCCAATCGAGTCCAGGGTGAACTGAGCAGGGCATCTGGAAAATGAATGAAGGGACACAGAGCCAAGGACGCCCAAGAGGATGGCCGCTGAGAGCCGCCCCTCCAGGAGTTGAGCAGCTAAGAAGCCCTCACGTGACAGAGTTTGGCGGTTTCCCTGACACCTTCCTCCCGTCACAAAAACCTGCGCTGGCTACTGCTGTTGATTTTGGAGAGGGGAGGGACACTCCATACTGACCTCTGCTCTTTTAAGCATCTCCCACTTGTTGAGGATTTTCATAGCGTAAATTCGTTCCGTGCTCTTCATTTTGACAACAGCAACCTGAAATACAAATGCTAGTTTAACAAAGAGTTCGTTAACTGAGTCACAGACTAGCACGGGGTAATGTAACCACAGGGAAGTTGTAGCTAACTGGGAACCCTGGGAAAGGAGCTGGTACAGTAAGGAAAGGGGAGCTTCCTCCCACAGGCAAGATTTTGCCCTTTCAATCATCAAAACTTGGTTTTAGCCACACTGCAAGTTTCATGGCATCACTTGCTGTGTTCAAGAAACTTCAGTTCTGTGTAATTCCACTCTCAGACTTGCCTCCTTGCATTTAATGGCCCTGTCCTGACTTGCGCCCACCCCACCCCCAGAAGCTGACTCCTGACTCTCCCGGCCAGCTCCACCCCTTTGCAGGGGGCATTTCTTTCATCCCACAGCTTTCCTTCACAGGGCCATCATTTGCCATTCGCACTTCGGAGAGTAACATTGGGCAAACTGACTTTTTTGGTGCCTCCATTTTCATAAATGAAATGGAGAGAGTAGTACTGACCCCCTAAGATTACTCTGAGAATCAAATGGGTCAGTACAACCAACGTAGGTAGAACAGGGTTAGGCACACGGCCGGTACTCAGTACGTGAACTGTCAGTCATGATTCATCAAGTTACCACTCAAAGGCCACCTCTTCCACAAAGTCCTCCTGGACTTCCCAGTTCCCTCCCAGTGCACGTCCCGGTGGTTGTGCTGTCTGTAAGTCAATCATTCACTGGCTTCTGTCCCATCATAGCCCGGCACGTGATTCTCGATAGTTTAAGTGACTTGTGTACCTTTGGCCTCCTTGCACACAGCAGGCATGAACAGAGTTCTTACCCACATGCCATTACATCATTGTCATGAACATGTACAGTTAACATGGATGGATGGGGTAGCAAGCAACGTGCTTGTATTCTCACTGACTCCTCCAACAACCTTACAAGGCTTGTCTCTTGACATCACATTTGACAGGTGCTGAATCTGAGGCTCAGAGGGGACAAACAACATGCCCGACAGGTGGCAGGGTCTAGACTCAAGCCACCTAGTTTGAGCATCATCTTAAGACTATATATTATAATGATGGGCATAAATAGTGACCACCTTCCTGGGTCCTCATGGTGGGGGTGAGCACAATGAACCAGCCCTGATGGGACCCCAGGAGACCCCCCAGAGACCTACCCCACCCACCTGACTCCCAGTCAGGTTCCCCCTCACCCACTTCCTTGTGTCCCCCTCTGCTCCCTGTGTGGTGGCCTCTTGGCAAACCTAGGCTGCTGCTTGTTAGCTACATACAGCTTTTAGGAACCGAGAACTGAGCTTGCTGCCTCCACTCTGAACACAATTAGAAGACCCCCACTAACCCTCTGCCAGGAAGTCCGTTTCAACCAAGCAGAAATGCTCCACAGGGTTGCCAAGACTGTAAATCTTTAGAGAAGTAGACAGCCTCATCTTTCTCTCACAGAGTGGCTAGTTGGTTTGAACTGCCTCATCTTTCACTTGCAGAGCAGCTGGTTGGTTTGAACTGCTGACCTTGTAGTAGCATCCCAATGCTTAACCCATTGCACCACGCAGGCACCTAAGAACACATAGAGCCTAGATAAGATAAGGCCAGCGTACTCGCCACGCATCAAAGAACCAGAATTCGGGCACACATTCTCCATTCTTTCTCTTTTCTCCCACTTAGAAGCACCTACTTTTTCTGTGGTGAGTCCTAGACGGCGCTGTAGGATAAGCACTGGACTGCTAACCACAAGGTCGGCAGTTCAAACCCACCAAGTTGTTCCTCAAAAACCCTACACAGGGTCACTATGAGTAGACACCGACTTGACAACACTTAACAACAGCAGCTAGATGAGACACACACCAGTGTGGGAAAACCCCAACAACTTCCTACTAAAACGGCCTACCTTAGAAGGAATGGCAGAGCTGACAAGTTCTGAGGAAAATACTGAGACTCTGACCATGGCAAGCCTCACACACAATCCAGATCCCAGTGGAGAGGCGATGCAGAACATTCCGCACTCTTGTTGGGAAACTTAATTCTTAAGGAGATGCCGCCGAGAGCACAGTTTATTTCCAGAAAACATACAAAATGGCTACAATGAATACGTACCTGTCTAAGGAAAACACTCATCAAATCTTGAGTATGCAGAAGCGTAACGCAACACCCCAAACTGTGTACTGAACAAGCTTTCTCGATTGTTTAACAACCCATGAAACAAGCACCATGTAGAAAATCTTGTTTGGTTTACTAGGAACTTCTTCCTGGCTAAAAACTCAGTCGTCATTGTTTTGAAAACAGCGAGTCACCAGCCGCTCCTCGGAAATCCGATACAGGGTCGCTAAGAGTCAAAACTGACTCCAAGGCACATAACAACAACAAGTGACCCTACAAATATCAGGTGGCTCCAGGATAAGTCAACTAAAGGCAAGACCTGAACGTAACAGTTACAGGTATGTCATGAAGGAGGACACCAAGGACAACCAACAAAACTGTCCTTGAGGCAGATGAAAATATCCTGTCCATTACAAATGTATTAAGAATTGCTAATGAAACTGCGATTATGTAAGGCCTACCCTACCCTTAAAACGAGGGTGTGGCACTGTGGGACAAAGTACTGGACTGCAAGGTCAGCTTGAACTACAACTCACCTGGAAACTCTGTACAGGGTTGCTATGAGTCGGAACCGACTCGACGGCACTTAACAACAACAACATCCTTAAAACACAGACATGGCACAGGCACCTTATTCTCGGTAGTTCATGAAAATATTACCCAAGGCGCGGGAGTGCATGAGGGGGGAGAGAGGGACAGAGAAGAAGGAAGAGCAAGGGGGAGGGGGCAGGGACAGGGGAGACAAAGCAAATGGAGAAAATCTGGGTAACAGGTTAGACTGGTAATCTTTGAAATCATCAGTTCATGTCGGGTTCTGGAAACTTAAAATTGTTTCCAAATACTTTCATTTCCTTTTTTTGTCAAAGGATTCTAGGAAAGAATGGGGCAGGGGCAGTTCTGGGGGGCTGGCTCAGGTCAGCCGGGGTGGGCTGGTCCCAGCTCCACTCCACCCTGGGCTCAGCCTTTCTTCCCCATGGAGTGAGGGGAGAGAGCTCCTGGAACCCCCACCTGTCGTGAGCTACCCTCACAGAAACCCCAACACACCCTGGGCTCTGTGTCATCTGGGGCAAGGAGCTGCCCATCTGGACAGACTGAGGCTGTCCCCAATATGCTCCGACAGAAGTGCTCCACTGTGCTCAAGAAAACGGGCAGAACCCCAGCTTCAAGCTTCTCTCAGAGACGGCCTAGAGCTCTGCTCAGAGGCTGTAGGGCAGCTTGCTCACAGCCGGGCATGGGGCTCTCCAGCAGACAGTGCTCCTGGCTGGAGACCAGCGTGCTCCCATATGAACACATAAGGCTGTTCCAGTCATATCGTGGACCTGCGGCTTGGCCTGCTGACTGCTCATTAAGGAAAAGATAATTCAGTAACAACCATCTGTGGAAAAAACCCAGGTCCCCTAGCTTCCGGCTTCACTCAGTACTTGCTGGGGCTGGGAGGCTGAAGTCGGGTACATGGTTCTGGGAACATGCAGGGAGATAATGGGGTGATGGGAATACAGCATGCAGGTGAGGCACTGCTGTCCCACCTGGCACAGGAGTGAGGGACCTGGAGGGAAAAGGCACAGCGGGAGTGTGGTGCCCAGGCTATGAGGTGGACGCAGGTAGACTCTGAGGGCAGATGCAGGATGGGATGGACAAAGAAGCTCTCAGGCCAGGAGGGGGAATGAAGGTAAAGGATCCATAGGACCCAAGGCCTGGGCTGGGAAGTCAAGCTTCTCTAAATCTGCAAGAGCTGGAGAGGTGAGCCATGTAATTTTATTGGGAATTCATAAAACTGAGTTTCACATTAAGTTCTTTGGCAAAGAAGCATGCTAAAAATAGCCACAAACTATTCTGGCAAAACAATTCTCTCTGCCCTTTCATTTTTTCCCTTAACAGTCGTCCCTCCCGTATCCTCTCTTCCACCTCTCCTCAATCTTCCACCTTCTCATGCTTTCAGCTATGCTGACATCGCTGGACCTGGGTGACTTGACCCCCAGTACCTGGCACAGCTCTGGCTACAAGAACAGTTACCAGGAAGCAGACGCTGGTGCCGATTTCCCAAGGCATTATCTTTCCTCTCATGAAAGAAATTAACTTGACAACCACCACCATGCTTGTACTTTATATCATCAAACAACCTGCTTATTGCTTCAAGGTTTATTTCTAGTTGGCACTCAACTGGCCCCTTTGGGTGCTCAACTAGACCGACCACCCCGACCACCTGGGGTGGGGAGTGCATCTGGAAATGGACAGGAACTTTCCAGGGAGACACAAATACCCTGCGACCACTGGAGCAGACATTTATCAACTCACTGCAATGTACACTTGGATCTTGTTGTGGGTTATACGTGTAATGACATCACAGTATTTGAAAAGTAAATGTCCTTATTCCATCCCAGTTCACAGTAAACAAAGCATGCCTATGCGGTCTGGTCTCAGGATTGTCCTGGGGTAATGCTGGAGACCTGCCAAGTTTGGGATGGAGCTCTGTAGGAACTGCCATCCAAGAGGACAAGGCGGCCACCAAGCTTGCCCTCCATGATGCTAGGGCAACACCTGGGAACCGGCACTTCCTCCCTTTACCCTTGGGGAGGCACACAGGAAAGTTCTGGAAGAGTGGAAGACACTCTGGGGTGAGGGGATCAAGAGGAGGAACAGAGAGGCTTGGAGCCTTCCCAGGCTCAGGGTGAGGGTCAGACTGGAGATGGGGCTGCTTACAGGGAAGAAGTGAGGCCCAGTGTACAACAGTCCCCATGCGGGCGGCGTGGGGAGCTCACTGTCGGTTTGTCTTTTAGACTTTTCCTAAGAGCATTTTCTTTCTATGTATTCTACTGAAGACCTGAACACAAAGAATGGTGTCAGCGAAAGGATCATCCAACATTTTGAGATGTTTCGCTGAGTCGGGTAACGGGTCTTGTTTCAACTCAGTAGGCATTACATTGAGATATGCTGGAGCAAAGACGAGTGTAAAATTGCTGTCTTGTCATGTGCGTGACAGAACGTGTGGCCTACTACGGCTGACATTACTCCACACTTCACAGAAATGCCCAGTAGGGTCGCTGTCAGGCAGAGACAGGACACCCGCTGCTGATGGGTGCCTTCTCAGTAACCCAAGTGCACAGTCAGAGATAAACTGAAATATACACATCTCTTTACCACTGGTCCCATAGGGTGGACTTTTTTTTTTTTTCTTTTTTCAAGGGAGAGCAGCTCTCAATGATTACTTTGTCCAACAGTCTTAAGGACTTCTGGTTGGCGCTGTAGAAGTACTGGACTGAGGACCACAAGGTTGGCAGTTCAATCCTACCAACTGCTCCTCAGAAACCCTATTCAGGGTCACACTATGAGTCGGAATTGACTTGATGGCACTTAAAAACAGCAAATGGTCTTAAGGTATCCTGGTATGGCATTTTAGGATAAGCACTGAACTGCTAACTGCAAGGTCAGTGGGTCAAACCCACCCCTATAAAGGGTCACTACGAGTCGGAACTGACTCAGTGGTACTCAAAAACAACAACTGCAAGGACCCTATACCCTGACTTATGCGGCAATGGACCAGGCAGGCGAGGCAGAGGACAGGGTCTGGGTGTGGGCTAGCTGTGCAGACAGACAGCGGGGCTACTCTAGCTGCTCAGGGGGGCAGAGCAGGGAGGGGGAGGGGGTGGGGTCCTCCACTCACTCTCACTCTATTCCTGCTGCGGCCGCCAGTTCAAGAAAATTAACCAATGCACTTTCAAAAACGGATTCCTAAGTTTGTAGCTCTCGTTTTAGTTTGGACCACACTACTCAGGGTAATGAAGTCATCACAGACTTACGTTGTTATTCTTTCAGATTCTGTCCATCAAGACCTCCCCAGCTGACATCAAGAATTACTGTGTCCCTAAGCATGGACTGCCACGGGATGAACAAATCTGACTGGAAGAAAGAAGTACAGCCAGAATGCTCCTTCGAAGCAAGGCTGGCAAGACGGTCTCACAACAACGAATATGAGGACGGCGAAGGTTAGGCAGTGTTTCACTCTGCTGCACACGAGGTCACTATGAGAAAGAACTGAGTCAACCGCACCTAACAACAACAACAACAACAGGCGATTATGCCTACTTCTCACTTATTGGCTATCTCGTTATCTGACATTTAGCATTGATGACAACAGCATCAATCTGACTCTTCTGTGCATTAACAATGCATGGCTGGCAGTAATGAAGGCTGAGCTGGGAGCCAAGAGTAACACTGGCTGTGATGGTTAAAATTATGTATCAACGTGGGCTGGCCGCGACTGGGCACGGTTTGGCAGTTATGTAACGGTGAACTTCTCAGTTACATAATGATGGCATTTAGCAGCTAGCAGCGATGGAGACATTCTCCATTGTGTGATATGATGCAGCCATCCCTCATTTGCCCATAGTGCCGACTTTTCGCCTAACGACATGTTGTTCTGTGGAACCTGCCCAGGTTGATGAGTGAGGAGTACGTACAAATGTGCGTTGCTGCTATTTGGGCAATCTAGCCACAACGAACACATGAAGTTTTTCTTACCTCACCGAAAGCACCTCTTCCAATCACTTTAATTATTTCAAAGTCTTCCCGATGTAGCTGCATCTCCTTCACCAGCTGTGTAAATGGTTTCGCTACAAAGAAACAGGTAAAGGGTACAGTTTAGTCTGAGTGCTGGAGCCGACACTGTGACATTTACCAATAGCAACAATCTACTTCAATCCATGGATACTCTAGGAAAATGAAATCCACTGGGGCTTGTCAGTGAGTTACATTTAAAAAAAAATTTAAGCATATACTTACCTACATACTTAGTATCTGAGAAGTTTTGGGAAGTCAGTATTTAAGGTAAATATATGTGGATGTTTGTCATTAGCAACTATATTTCAATATCTACTATAATAAATATAGGCACAACAAAGATGTCTCTATAAACATTTCTAAAGCCAAGGTGTGCTTATTGAGAAAGCACCTGTATCGATCTCCACAGGTGAGTGTGTTGTGAGCTCCACTTGTCTACACCAGGAACAGGACCATCAAGGGAGAAGAGCACAAGTGGACTACGGGACCCTATCTAGAGAGGCAGGAGTCCTGGTGTGGCGCTGTGGGTTAATGTGCCAGACTGCAAAGCCATTTGAACTGCAAGGTCAGCGGTTCAAGCTCACCAGCTGCTCCTTGGAAACCCTATACAGGGTCACTATGGATTGGAATCAACTCGACAGCACTTGACAACAATATCTAGAGAGGCAACCGACACCAGAAATGGAGGCAGAGATGGAGACATGGAGAGACAAAGGAGCTGAGGACTGGACTCATGGAAAGAGAGGGACTGGGTGCTGGCAGCCAGGAGGCAGGCTTGCAGAATGTGCCCTTTGGTTGTTTAAATTATTATATAACCCCAAGTGTTTTTGTGTACACCCCCCAGCCTACTTCCACTGCCCACCCCCCCCACACACAAAATAAAACCCAGAGGGAATGGAAGCAAATTCTGTTGAATGACGGTACATGAAGGACTGTAATCAATACTTTTGTCTGTGTTCATTAAGATAAGGGCTTTGAGTACTGTTAGGGTTAGGGTTAGGACTAGTATTAGGGTTGGAGAGGGGATGAACTAGGGGTAAGAATAAGGGGTTGAGCTAGGACTAGGGCTTTCTCTAGTTTTCAAGGTTATAGTTAGGTTTATTTTTTTAAAAATTGTGTCTTGAAATCTACTTGATTTCCTCTTCTTTAGAAGTTCTATAACTGCACTATTTCCCCCTTTTTATTTTGTGTTTTTGTTGTTGCTGCAAACTGATATATCTGGTTCCCTATTTTCAGTCTTACAGGTTTGTTCCAGAGTCCTGGTATGGTATTGTAAGGTAAGCATTGAACTGCAAATTTTTTAGAATCACAAGGTCAGCAGCTCAAACTCACCAGCTGCTCCTCAGAAACCCTATACAGGGTCACTATGAGTCAGAACCTATTTGATGGCATTTAACAACAGGGTTGTTTCACTTTGGATACTTCTATATGGGGGTTGGGAATTCCTGGTGTGGCGCTGTGGGCTAATGCACTGGCTGCAAAGTCAGTTTGAACTGCAAGGTCAGCAGTTCAAGCTCACCAGTCACTCACTACTTGAAAACCCTATACTGGGTCACTATGGGTTGGAACCGACTTGAGGGCACTTAACAACATCATATCAGGGTTGAGTTATGGGTGATATTACCATGTACTTTGATCTCAGGTTATTTATTATCTGCTGTTGTTGGTTCTCTGTCTTACGAACTCCCTTTAGTATTTTTTGTAAGGCTTGTTTATTTTTTTTTTACAAATTCTTTTTTTATTTCTGTTGACCTGGAAATGTCCTAATTTCACTAGGATATCTGAGGGCCCATTTTGCTGGGTATATGATTCCTGGTTGGCAATTGTTTTCTTTCAGAGTTTTATATATGTCACCCACCCCATGTCTTCTTGCCTGCACTGTTTCTGCTGAGAAAACAGAGCTTATTCCTACTAGTTCTTCTTTGTAATTTTTTGGTTTTCCTGAACTGCTCTTGAATTCTTTCCTTTCCTTTGGTTTGGAGTGTTTGAATGTGCTTTGGGGATTTTCTTTTGGAGTCTATACTATTTGCAGTCCATTCAACTTCTTGAATGTGTATCTTGTCATCTTTTACAATGTTACAGAAAATTTTCTTCCAAACACCTTTAAAAAGATGTGGGGTTTTTTTTTGGAGGGGAACTCCAGTCACATGCAAATGCTTCTTCTTCATAGTGTCCCACATAATTCTTAGACTTTTTTGGATTTTTTTTTCTTCTGATTGTTCCTCTTTGTTATTGTAAAGTGCTATTGAGTCATTTTCGACTCATAGTGACCTTGTATAGGGTTTCCAAAGAGCGGCTTTTGAATTCCTTATCAGGTAATTCAATTCCATTTCTGGTATTATATTTTCAGGCTCTGTATTTTGGTCATTTGTTTGAGCCACCCTGTCTTGTTTCTTCATGTAAGCTACAATTGTCTGTCATCTCTGAGACACTGGGGTGTCACTGTACTTATATTTAATTGTTGCTTCTATGTGATTACATTGTTAGGTGCCATCAGAAAAGCTTGGGGAACAAAGGAGAACCTCAGCCTTGTCTGTGTCTCTAAGCCACTGTGCTGATTTACAGCTGCCTGAGAAAACTCAAGATGGCTGTGCCATGGCAGGCCAGCTCCTCGCTGGCCTTTCTGCCCCTTCTCTCACTGATCCTGCTTAGCTTCCTCTCCCGTCCACACTCAGCCCATCTGTTTATCCTTTCCTCTTCATGAATCTCAGAGCTCCAGAATCACCTTCCGTATGTGTTCTCTTCAAGTCCAATGTCCTTGTAGCAAGGCACACCTCTGCCTAGTCCGCCATCTTGCCCCGGAAGCTCAGGGTTTTCTTCCTGAACTAATAAATCCCTCAATTTATTTTCTAAAGTTAAACCAACCTTGCATTCTTATGAGGAATGCTATCTGGTCAGGTGCATTGATTTATTTGATATATTACTGGACTGAGTATGATAACAGTGGCTGTTTCAAAACTGTGTTCATGAGTAAGAGTAGCCGGTACTTTTCTCCTCTCATACTTCCTTATTCCGTCACAGCACACAATTAAGCCAGGCTCCTAAGTGGGCTGGGTGTGTCCCCACTTCTTCGGTGCTCTGAGAACTTTGGGGACGACTGGAATGATTTACTCCTTGACTGCCTGGTAGAACCTGCTGGTAAAACCACATGAGCCAAAACTGTCTGTGTAAGGAAATGTCTTAACTACTATTTTAACTTCTTTACTAAATGTGTTGTTACTAAGTGCCATCAGGTCAGTTCCGACTCGTAGTGAAGCTGCATAGGGTTTCTGAGGCTTTTTAAATCATTGAGGGAGCAGAAAGCCTTATCTTTTTCCCATGCAACAGCTGGTGGGCTTGAACTGTGGTCGTTGTGGTACACAGTCCAGTGCTTATCATATACAGCCACTTCACTTCCTCTTATTAAATATGTATTTCTTCTTGAATCAACTGTACAAACTTATTATGTATTATAGGAATTTATCTGTCACCTACACTTGACAAATTGCTCGTAGTATCTTCAGCATTTCTGACAATTATGCCTTTTAAAATTCCTAATATTACTTATTTGTTGTTGATTAATCTTGTCATGTCATTTAAAAAATGTTTTAAAGAAATCACTTTGGTTTTGTTAACTCTATTGTATGCTTACTTTCTATTTTATTAAACTTTGCTCTCATTCTGACAATTCCCTCCTACTTTATTTAGCTTTCTTCTATTCTTTAGTACACATCATAAAACAGTTTATTTTAAACCTTCTTTTCTAATATAAGCATTTAAATCTATAAACTTCCAATAACTTCTTTAGCCACATTATTGCGCATTTAAGCAACCCTGGTGGTACAGTGGTTAAGCAATCAGCTATTAACCAAAAGGTGGGTGGTTTAAGCCGCCAGGCAGCCCTGGGAGAAAGATGTAGCAAGGCAGTCTGCTTCTGTGCAGACAGACCCGTTGGAAACCTTATGGGGTCCCTATAAATCAGACTCAAACCTGACAGCAATGGGTTGGGATTTTTGTAACTATCTCACTTGAAAGTTTTTCTCATTTTCACTATGATTTTATCTTTAACTTATGCAGAAGTACATCTCTTAATTTCCAAATGTATGAACCTCTCCTAGCCATCCTTGGCTCCTGATTGCTAAGTTACTGGGAAGGTGCTCTAAGAGTGTGGTCTACATATATAAAGCCTTTGGAATTCGTGAAACCAGCTCTATAACTGAGCACCTTGGCTAGTTTTTTGTCACTGTTCAATGTGCATTTGAAAAGATGGATATTCTACAAGCACTGAGGTCTGTGAGTATGTGCGTTTCTAGTTTGAAATGAGCCTGTCAATCCAAACCTATGCCCTTACTGAGCTTCTTATCTGTTACTTTGATTTGCATTTTATTTTAATCTTAATGTACTCACAAGCCATAGGTTTTTGTTTCTTCAGTTTCTTCTAGGATATCTTTTTCTTCTGCGCAACCTCCTCTTCTGGTTTAGGAACAATTTAATTTGTTCCTTTTCACTGAGGATCATCTCAATATGGTGGGGGGAACTAACTCATGAAGGGTTGATCTGACCATGCGCTCTGGAAGTTCGGAGGCACATCTTGGAGGCTTTGTTGACCAGGTTGGTCTCAATGACCAGTGAATCCACATCTCAACCCTTCTGCTCAGCATAGCTCTCTGCAATTTAAAGCACGCACTGCAAAAACTCAGTGCTCTTCTTGGGCCACTGACCCTGTGTCCAGCCCCACTGTTTGGCCGGGGCACACCTACCAATGCCGCCATTATAACATCGGAATGAAATACACGGCTTCTGCAAAATGACATCTTTAAGATACTTGGTGGCTTTCTGGATATGTACACCCCTGATGGCCTGAGCAGTCTCACAGGTGTTCTTAAAATGGACCAGGAGAATTGAACCTCTTGATTTGCACAATTTGGTGGGGTTTTCTGGGTTAAGTGAGTAGCAAACCATTTTGTAAGATTACACAGGCCACTTACCAGGAGAGCCTTACTGAGTTTCTGTCTGCTTGAAAGGTATGTTACGTGAAACTTTTCAACTACAACTGCAAATTTGAATTTTTACT